AGGGAGGGGAGGGGATTATACGACGCCGGGATCGCGGCAGCCGCAGGGGTGGACGAGAGAAGGAAGGGGATAGATTATCGTCGGGCTGAGGGTTACATATAACGCATCTCGTGCCCGGGGCATTCGAGTAAAATGATAATAAACGCATTTCATCGACGCGACGCGACGCAAATTTCATCGCTCCTGCCTTTTCCCGCGTTTCGAAGGCCGTGTTCTAAAATTCATTTCTATAATTCACGTTACGTGTATTATATATTTCCAGTACTGGCAGTGAATTTCGGAACACGGCCGAAATATGGCGGCGTTCGTCACCGACAGTGACATCGGTGTGACGCCGATAGAACGATGTATGATGTATGTCGATCTGACGACAACGATCATAGATGGTGTTGGATATCGTATTAACGTTGCATAGGCTTGTACAGATAAGACTACGCGCTTTTATTAAATGCGAGATAACATAAGACAGAACAAGAAAATGAGATGTTTATTTTGGTCCGATTTAGTTGATCGAGAAAATCAGACAAGTAAAGTCTATCTATATATGTTTATAATAAATCTCATTTTGCGTAAGGATATATTTTATTAGAAATAAATTTATAATAAAATATATTTTTACGCAAAATGAGATTTGAAATCTTCGTAATAAATATGTCGGATAATTTACAAGTGAAAGAAAACACGCGTTTTTCGTCTATATATCGGGTGCTTTTCTATTATTTATCAAAAATTATACGAAAATAACACGAGAAAATTGATATCAGAATTATATACGAATTACGTCAAGCTCATATGTAACGTACGAAGAGAGCATCGGGTATATGGCGTCTTTCTTGGGATCGATCGTCGACGAAATTTTCCGAGATGGTCGGTCGCATCGCCGATGCTTATCTAAAACTTTTGGGGTTTGTCGGCGGTACGTTATGGTGTAATAAAATCCAAGTAATTTCACCGTCGGTTCGAGTTCTCCCGCGCCATAACGCAGTAAAACGCTGGCTTTATAAAAGGTTAGTCACCATAGCGCACAATATGTATTTTAGAAAATAGAAATGTTGCGCGATGGATATTTTACATAAAATCGATTGTGCTAAATTTCAATGGCGTGAATATAGCTATCTTCTCTAATTATTCTCGATCATTTCTGACAAATCAATTTTAATCAATTTTCCCAAGTTTTATTTATTTGTTTCTTTTCTTTTACAAGTTATCAATACAGTTTCCAAATAGGTATATCTATAATTTTTTAAAATCTATGCATGTTTCTCTCTCATCGTGTGATGTAAATTATTTTTACAAGTTTCTCTCTCTCTCTCTTTCGAAAAAAATTCAAAGGGATTCAAATATGTTTTATCTGCGATTGATCTCTGATTTAAAGCAACGCGTGGCTTAAATTCGAAATCTACCTGTGCGGAGAAAGAGGTTGCGAAAAAGGAAAGCGGAAGAAAGAAAGGGGAAATATAGATTTTCTCTCTCTTTCTTTCTCTTCGTAAATCTTCCATGCGTGTAACTCATCTGACGAAGGAAGCCGCGCGGCGCTCTCGTTGCGAACGGAGTTGTTTATGCTTTCCTGTGCAGCGCTTTCTGAAATATGCAAATCGCGCGTATTCGCATAATGGCGTTATCGCGGTGGGATGCCGCCGCCGCCGCCGCCGCGCGGCTCTTTCGCCGACTTCAAACGACGCGCCTACCGCGGGCCCCGTTCGTTCGAGAAGAAAATCAACATCGCGTTTCTCATAGCGATAAATGCACGAACTGCGAATTCCCGGCGCGAAACGAAGCCGTGTTGTTTCGCGTTAATATGTGGTGGCAAAAAGGCACTATGGTATCGGTGTGTCTCGTAAATATTAATGTATATAAGATGCAAAACGGCAACTGTATTTTTAGATTGTGTATTTTGATAGTGAATAGAGAGCCGCCAATAGAGAATTAATTAAACGGATTAAACGTATGTATATATGCGTGTAAACGATTACATCTATTATCTATCATTAAGTATATGCTTTAGACATGAAAAATTAATCGACTTTCGTATTAACCCTTGATTGCAAATATGTAATTAAGCAGAGTGTATTCTATTATTACTGTTATATAGTTATGGTTTAAAAAGTGAGAGATTAAATAAATTCCTACGTTCGCACGTTTATCTCTCCGCGCTTCGCTCTTATAATATCTCAGCCGGCTTATCGGTGCTCGGGCAAAACGCTTCCGCGCGACGATAAAGCGAGGTGCGGGAGTGCGCGCGCGGAACGGGCGGTCTTACATATTATAATTGATACGTTACAAGCGCTCCTACACGCCGTATAAGTTTATCTCCGACGCGCATCGACGAAACCGGTTAGATAACGAGGAGCGCGAGCGCGCGCGCGCGCTACATCATATAATAAAGTTTAATTATTCGGATAATGAGGGCCGCGCGCTCGTACTCGTCTAATGACAAATAGCGGCCCAACACGGCCACATCGCACCCGTGCGATACCGATGTAACGCGTACGGCGAAAACGACAAACAGCGCGCCGATTTTACGTCTCGTCACGCATGCACGCGTCTATTTTTGCCTTTATGTAAAGATCGATTTGTGCTCTATCCTATTTTGAAGATAGAGGAGCCAGAACACGCGAAACACGCATTTATAGTCAGTTTTCCGTTTAAGTAGAAGCGGTAAATTCTGAAAAAAAAAAAAAAATGTAAATGTCCTTGTGATTGTTGTGAAACAATGTTATATTTGAAATTTATACAATGTTAAGCATTATTCATTATACGAATTTCTTTTTTTATATTATGCAACATTAACATAATTTTCTTATTCAATGCGAAACGGATATCATTGATTATTTCGGCATTAATTATTCTGCCTCGCGAATTTCTATCGTCATATATTTTTCGATGTATACAAATTGCCGATCGAAGAGAGAGACAAATAGCGTGGTGTGATCCATTTAGTTGATCCTCCATTTTAATGAACTTGTTAGATCCGACGATCGTCGAAACTCCCGTCTTCCTAGTGTTTCTCAAATTTGAATTCTCGAGATCGTAAAGTACCGATGTAACCATCACCACACGAAGCCGGACGCAATCGACGCGAAAGATCTCGAAGGTATCTTCGATGCCGCCGTCGAATTCCAACGAGATTTTAAAAGAAAGGAGACTCGAGAGAAAAGGATGATGTACGTTCTGATCGTTCTCAGGGAGAGGGTGAAAGGGAAGGAGGTGGGGGAAAAGAGCACGTCGTATCCACGTTTTCGACGATATTTACGTGTGTCCGTATTGCGGTCAAACGGCTGTCGAACAGCGGGTTTTACAACGCGGGGACAGCATAT